CACTTTTGACGATATTCTGATGATATTTCTCTCTTTGAATCGTTTAAACTCCGAATATTCATGATATGATTTATTTATCATCAAATTTCTTAGTCATTCTCCGATGTTGGATGCAACCTTGTTTCTCCCTTATAGTTGATAGAAAATTGTAGTCTTCTTAATTCATGGGATCCACCCTCAACCATTTTTTTCTTTCCCCTATTGGCTGTCTCATTGCTTTTCTTTTTTTCCATGGCTTTTTTCTCCAAGATGGCAAATAATGTCATCGCTTGCTCTTCACAGCCTTCAAAAGTGACCCACAAGAGTTTGACTCTAAGAATGTTTCGTCTTACCCATGTAAAGTAAAATTATTTGTCACAATGAGTCACGACATTTGATAGCTCAATCAATTCCATGTATGGTTCAGTAGACAGTAAAAGAGGTAGATAAAACATTGGCTCAAGTATAAGAACTATTTCGAGACCAGAGAGCGACGAAGATGAGGAGAGTGGAAAACAAACACCTGAGAGCTCCTTTTTGCCACAAGTATCATCGAACTTATTGAGAAGATGAGATGTCTTCTTTTGTGAAGGATTATCGGTCGCGCACCCCGATAGGCCCGGCATTAAATCCTTTAGGGTTTTTTCGAGAGTGATCTGTTCAGTTCCTTTGGCACTTTCAAAACTCCCACGATGAAAGATGGTGATTGAGTTTTTACCTGTTAGGGAGGGATTGATGCGGGTCGATTGCTTGGTTCTCCATACCCATTTGAATTTTGGGACCTTGATGCCAAACTTCCTGAAAGATTGTTTTGCATCCTTGCTGGGCCCAATGTGCTCTATTCCTTTGCCCTTTTCCGCTCCTGAGAATCTCAACTTTGGCCCGATGGTGTTGAGATTAATTTCCGGTTGAGCCAGTTTATGAGCTTTCAGGGTTTGAGTTAGGGTTAGGATTTGATTTTTTGTGCGTGTTAGAGATCCTCGATATCCGAACCTTGTTTGAATTTCAAAGAAATTCTGACAGTAGAGCGGGTCGGGTACCTTCCTCATTGCTCGGATTGTTGCTTTAGGGCCCGGAAACACTGCCTCAATGAAGGTTTTTCTTTGTTTCTACTCAAGGTGGAGATCCGTGTGGCAGTGTGGGCATTTAACTTGGGAGGGGTCCTGAGAATGGTCGGTTGATACAGGAAGGGGGATCTTGTAAAAAGTGTTGATTCCAGAAATAGGAGGATATTGTAGTTGCTTGGACTGGTCCTTGAAAGGGTTTATAATAGGGACTTCGGTAAGTTCAAAGACCGATTTCATCATTCGCCACCAACCTCCAGCTTCAATTCCTTCTAGGATAAATATTCTTTTAAATTTCTTACCCCATGACTCGAATAGGACAAGGAAGCGACCTCTTTTGTTCCACCCGAGCGCCAAACTGAGAGAGTGGATTTTACTGTTGTGTTTTTGCCCCATGTTTGACTCCCCTTATTCTAGCAGAAGTCGCTCACGATCTCCACAAACCACCGAACTTCCTCTGTATTCAGAAAAATTGAGATCCTGAAACCATACCTATTTTTATTGATTCTCAACTTGTCCATTTTTTTTTCTACCCATGCTATGTCAAACGATTTGCTGCCAATTTTTTTTTAAATAAAAGGAAAATATTATTATGTACAAGATATCAAAGGGGTAACACCCAAATACAAACTAGTTACATGTCAATCAAGTGGTTTATGACCACACCAAAGTCGCACATGTCTTTGATGTTATGACCCAACAAAATAGATACAAAAAGTATGAATTCATCTATCTTCAATGTTTGTAAAGTTAGTCTCTATACCCTCAAAAGTTTTTCCATTCCTTTTCTTCCACACTACCCCAAATATTGTAAGTGGAATAAGGAACAAATGATGTTTTTTTTTTTACAAATGTTCACCCACGCCCACAACTCATTACTCACACTCCCAGCCATAACCCAGTTTAACCCTAACAGCCCAAACAAACAATTGGGACAGTTTGACAAATCTTGACAAACGATTTGCTGTCAATGAGTACAAACTTTTTATTCGGACAGTTTGACATGTCTGTAAAGATATGACTTTTCAAAAACCAACTAATATCATATGCTTTCTGAAACAGACTTAAAGGGCAAGACCGGCCCTCTTCTTTCTTTTCATATATTCTACTTTTTACCTGTGAGAGAAGCATCAAGAATCTGCTTACCAGTAACAAAAATACTTTGATTGGAGGCATATTATCTCTTCAAATCTCTCCCTAATCATTACCAATTGATCTAAAATAGATCCTCTTTTTTTATGAATCAAAGTGTATAAGTGGAAATTCTTCTTTGTACGTGGGTTTGCAACCCTTCGGTGCTTGAACGAATATTATTTTTATTTCAAAAAAATTATAAGTGGAATTCAAGGTAGTATTATCTTCCTATTCAGGAAAAACTCTTGAAAATATTTTAACCAAATTCTCTTTTAGCAATCTCCCAATAACTTAGAAAAAAAAAAGATGTAGGAAGGCCGTCAAGAAATCACTTTAAACACCAAACCTTCATGATCGCTCTCCTCCACCACATCATTGACAACAACTGTTGCACCAAGACAAACAACTATGTCTCCTCTTCCTTCTTTTATTTTTGTCGCTCATTAAGTTTTATGCTTGATTTCTTATTGAAAATAATATAGATACGTAATCTGGATAACTGTTCTTGTAATACAGAAAATGAGTTCTTGAACATCTCATCAAGGCCCTCTAAATCCAGAAAATCTTAAAAATTCAGAAATGTTCCATCAAAGCATGCATATGTCGTCCAAATGGTATAGTTGAATTTTTCAGTTCAGTTAGTGCTCATGCTACAGTTAGAAAATTATTAACATCAATTTGATGACAGTCCTAATATCCTTCTGTAGTCAATTCTAATGATGTTCGGAACCATCTTACGTGACAGTTGCAAGAAGACTTGGTATGTCTATACCTCTTAAATGCCGTACTTCAATTCATGTTGGAATCTCATTACTAAATTATACCAAAATAATGAAAAATGTGAATCTCATTACTAATATCCTTTCGTTTGCCCATTTGAAAAAAAAAGTTATTGAAAATGGGACTCACTTGTGACCAATCAATTAGTCCTTTTGTTTTTGGAATTGTGTCCACAGGAGAATCAGCAGCTTCATTGGAGCTTGGTATCTATTAGAAAATAAAAAATTATGCACAGGTTAGAACAATATCTACAGCATAAATAAATGGAGTGTAAGAAAATTATCACACTAGTAATAATCGTCAATGGTACATTCAGAATTTTTCATATCAAAGTATGGATGTACATAAACATATGGACATGAATCTGAAACCCTTCATCTCCAATCAGGTACTGATTAGCAAAGCAAACTGGAAAGCAAATGATCACATACAAATTAACCATTCCCATATAGCATGGGTACCACATGAATAGGAATATGTAATGTATAAGAATGCAATTGATGAATTAATGTTGATGCTTACTTTTGGCTCTCTGAGAGAGTGATGTGTATGTCAAGCCAGAAATAGTAACTTATAACTTTTGTCAAAACATAAGGGGACACACCTGATTAATCCTTACAAAAAGCTCAACTTTAAAATTTAACTTTTATAAGCTACAGATCATACCAAAGTAGTAACACAAAACTGTTCACCCGCTCCTTCACAATCTGAAGCTGTGATGATGGGACTTGAGACCCAAACAAATCCATTTTCTTGAAAGAACTTGTGCGTGGCATATGCCAAGGCATTCCTGACTCTGGAAACCTACAACCAGATTGCACCATTAAAAGTGAGATACTAACACAGGTGCATGTTATTGCTCCAAGTATAATAACAAAAGGCACATGAGAGCATTTGCAGAATTGAGTTTTCCTTCATTAGTAAGCAGTACAGTTAACCAAAATTCTGGAAAACATGTATCCTGAAATAACAATCCACCTCAGAAGGCATGCCCACATAAAGATCTGACTCCATGCTTAAGCATTTATCAGACTAGAAAAGAAGAATGAAAACAACTAACCAAAAAGTTATTTATACATAGCAAGAAAAAATTATTCGGAAAAATTAAAAGAAACCAAATGCTCAAGTGCTTATCAAGATAGTAAAAAATTGAAAAATACAATAAATTGCAACTACTATTCAAGAGAGGCAGCAAAAAATTGGAACAACATTCATCAAAGAATTAGATAAATTAAATGAAGCATCATGAAGTTGTGAGATTGAGCACAAGATGGAAAGATTTTTGCCTTACTTTTAGAGACTAAAACCAGAGCACACAAGAACTTGCACCATGAAACACACAATAATAGAGAAACCCTTCTGGTGTAGTTGATAATTAGTGCTTTAGGTTTTAGTAACTTCTAAGGTTCTACCTTACTGGAGTTTAGGCAATCACAATATGTCTTCATTATTCAAATTTTAGTTTTAGGTCTAATGAGCTACTCCCTTCTTCAAATTTTATTGTCTCACTTTGAACTTTGAGATGTTCTGAAATATTTGTTCACTTTGAAAAGTCAGCATACTCTTTTCACTTCCTCATATTACCATAGTTTCTTTTTTTTCACCCTTGTTTCAAGTTGCAGCTAAAAGGTTTCAGAAAGCCATGCACTTCCAAAAGATGATGAATAGAATGCCTGAGAGAGTCTTACATGTTCTTTTAGTTTCCAAGTATAGAGCCTTCAAAAAAATAATAAGGAAAAGCGTCATAATATATTCAACTCCATGCACTTTTAGTAGTACCAATAATTTCGAGATTTACCATAAATTTTCTGAGTGCTCATATCAGGCGCGTATTGGGTCACTTAACAAAACTCTAAGCCTAGGCATTGATTTCTTTGTTGATGAAATTGAAAAATATCAGCTAAAAAAGTGGCAAAAGTAAAGCAAAGACAGATTTTATTTGCTTGTATGCGTAAAACAAATTTATAACTTGTACTAAAATGCATCTTGTTACAGTAATAAGCATTGGCAAATGAAAATAAAATCCTTTTTTTAATTGATAGGAAGAGAAAATGAAATTTTTGTCAATAACCCATAAATCACCTTTAGTTCCCAGTTTAACCAAATGGCCAATTTTCTACTTAAGAGACAACTATTCTTGCATGCTTGTCTGAGACAACTATTCTTGCAGACTTAAGAGACAATAGATAACAACTTTAGTAAGCAATAAACAAGATCCTACCGCCCCAAATGTGTTCGTTCTAGGACGCAAATGAGCTTTAGTTCTCAGAAATTCTCTGCTGACTCTTTTCTTCTGGATGGGATAAGAAGAATCACTTTTGCCGACCTATTAGAAGGATAAAAGTGATTAGTACAAAGGCAAGCAAACACAAGCAATTAGGACAACACAATTTACATGATGCACATTGAGGACCAACATGATTTACATGAATATTCAAATCTTATTCCCTGGGCCTCTTCACCCTGTTTCAAGATAGCCAGGATATTGTAAAGGTAATTTTATGGGCCCCTGTTCAACACAAACTAGAAAATTTCAATTCCCCTATTAATTTGGCTAAGATTGTTGATCCAAATACTTCCTTAGCACTAACCCAATTCATCTGTTTGTTTCATGACATAATAGATTACAATGAAAACTTAGGAAAGCCAGCCCAGTGAGATCTCATTCCGATGTAAAACGGGAAAAAAAATTCTCAAAGAACAGGGAGCTTCAGGTTAAAGATTACAATCTGATGCATGATATGGCAGGATTGAAATAATATATTAATCTGTTTTTCATGAGATAATGACCAGAAGGAGAACTCAGAAAGCAGCTAAAGACATAATTCATTCGGATGTAAAAGGCAGAAGAAAGTCTCAAAGGACAGACGGCCTCAAGTCACAGTCACCAAGAACATGAGATGAGTAAATCATTATACAGATATGCAATATGGTAAATCTACTTCTAGCTTCAACAGGCTGTAGGCTTAGCAATTGATATGCTATTTTCTTTTGAAATTTGATTTAAGCATTTACTAGGTTTGGTATCAGGATCCTAAGACCAATTGAGAGTTTAGACATATATTGGTTTAAGAACAGTGGTGTCTTTTCAGTCAGTTGATCTGTTACTGTTATTGGCTGCTCAACAGTCGTCTGCTGGGAAGGACAGGGTGCTGCGGAAGTTAGATAAAAGTGGTGTCTTTTCAGTCAAATCTTATTACAAGCACTTAACTGACAAAAACGTGATAAGTTTTTATTTTTCTTCTAGGCAGATCTGGAAGGCAAAAGTTCCCCCTAGAGTTGCTTTTTTTTTTTTTTCATGGGAAGCAAGTAGAGAATGCATCTTGACAATTGATAAGTTTAAAACTAGGGGGTTGGCCATTTCAAACTGGTGCTATTTGTGTATGGCTAATGAGGAAAGCTGTGTGCATGTTCTGTTGCGGTGTCCTGTGGCCTCTGGATTGTGGAATGCTATTTTTAGTATGATTGATGTTAACTGAGTGATGGCTGAATCTATTAGGGAGGAACTGTGGGCTTGGGATAGGATGCATGTTGAGAAAAAGTTGAAAAATCTAATTCCTTTATCTTTGTTTTGGATTTTTTGGAAGGAGAGAAATTCTAAAGCTTTTGAGAGTAAAACTAATGATTTGTATAATTTGAGAGATAGGTAATTGTATTATTTTGGGTTTTTATTGTTAGGGCATGACATGATTAATGATGTGGATTTTGGGCATGTCATTGATTCACTAACAACATTGTAAAGCTTTTGTATAGGGGTATACCCCCGATTGTTTGGTACCATGTTAATATTATTTCACACTTTTTATTTCAAAAAAAAAATATTGATTTAAGAAAAGTAAAGCTTTTTATTATTAACCTATTTCAATAAGATAATAATTAATACATTAACAACTTTTTAGACGGATAGTTAATAAATGCAGTTTAGGTCAACTCTCTCCCTGGGTCTTCATTTCTGACTCTTCGAAGGACAAAAAGTTGTTAAGAGATATTAAAGTTAAGAACTCCTGAATATTTAATCTTTCCGTCTCTATTTTTTTTCTCTCTCAATCTCTTTTCTGAGAAGAAAAAAGAAATAAGATTAAAGGGTTCCAAGGGGTATCGCCTATATACAGAATTACAAAGGGAAGCTGTCTAACAGATCAACTATATTTACATCATCCAGCAAAAGAAGATCCCTATACAAGAGACTGAGAGCTCTAAAACAGCGATTCCAGATAGATGCAAAAGGGTTAAAAAGAGTCACCAAAAACTCTTTGGTTCATCTCTTTCCAAGTGACCTAAAAAATGGAAAGTGGAATAAGAGAGATTTTTTTTTTCATTTCTTGGGAGTGGGGATGCCACTCCAAGCCCAGAGTTTGTCCTTAGCTGAGACATGACAACCCAAGGAGGTAGAAACAGGATTTACACTCACCAAGACACTGAAAGCATTAGTTCACCATGATTTTGCCCCTCTTCATGAGATTGTCAATGGTTAAAATTTTGCCAGAGCTGCTTCCCAAATGAGAAAAGCAATCGTAAGGTTGGCCTTTGTTTCTTACATGTGCTTCAAGGGGAACTTATCAAGCATATTATCAGGCATATATATAAGTTTGTAATAGGATTTAACATGAAAATACCATCCTTTAAAAAAGAGTGTCCCACTCTATGAATCTCCTACTGATTCAGATTGTGAAGGAGGAGAATGTTTCATTGGATTCCACCACCGTACATCTCAAAATAATCCTACACCTTAGCCTCCTTGAACCTCACAAGTGAGAAAATAGAAGGAAAGAGCCCTTCAAAGCACTACCAAAAGTACCACAGATCATGCCCAAGGAGCACCTCTGCCCAACTTGGACCAAACCATCAGTGTACGAACAGCATTTGGCCCCCAAAAAAACACACTCTCTCTCTACCTAATAATTGCAATCAAGTTCGACAAATGGGGAACGATTTCAACACGGTGTTGAGGCAGAGGGACTGATCAGGTGACACTTTTTCTAGGAGTTGTGTAGAGGAATTCAGAGTTGTTATTGATGACTTGGGGTTGGTGGATTTACCATTGATGGGGGGAGGTGGGCATGGACAAATCAAAGAATCCTCCGGGTTTTTCAAGGATTGACCTACTTTTACTCTCACATGATTGTTTTCTTGATTTTTTAGGTATCTGCCAAAAGGTGCTGCAGAGAATGATATTAGACCACTTTCCTAAATGCATCACTTCGGATGACATCCAATAGGGACCGATCCCTTTCAAGTTGGACAATAGATGGCTTAAGGAGTGTGGTGGATGGAAGGAGACAGTGGTTGAGGGGAAGGCAAGCTACAAGGTGGCCAAAAAACTCAAAATGTTAAAAGTTGTTATAAAAAATTGGGTTAAGCAGGAAAGGGTGAAGGGTGAAGAGGGTATTAATGAATTAATGGAGGAGCTAGGGGAGTTAGATAGGTTGGACAGGGAGGGGGGACGATGCAGGGAGGATGGAGAGAAAAGAGAAATGTTGAGAGTAGATTTAGCAAATAAGTTGTGCATGGAAGAAATATTTTGGAGACAAAAGGCAAGGGAGAAATGCTTGAAGGAGTGGGATCATAATACGAAGTACTTTCGTTGTTTGACTAACTTTAGAAGACCGTGCAATTTTGTGGATGAATTATCGATTGATAATTGAATGGTTGAGGGCAATGATAATATGAGAGAGAAAACTAACATTTTCTTCCAAGGGCTTTACAAGGAAGAATTAGAGGGAAGATTGAAGCTAGATGGGATTAAATTTAATGAGCTCAATCCGACAAGTAGAGACAACCTTGAGAAGGAATTTTTCGAAGAAGAGATTTTGGAAGGTCTTAGAAGTTGCAATGGTGACGAAGCGCCGAGGCTGGATGATTTCAACATGAGATTTCTACAAACTTTTTGGCACATCATCAAGGACGGTCTAATAGAAGTTTTCAGGAATCTTTATCATTGTAGTACTTTTGTGAAGTCTCTGAATTCTACTTTTCTTGTGTTGATCGCTAAGATGAAAGGGACGAAGAATATTAAACACTTCAGGCCTATTAGCTTATCAGGATGTATCTACCAGCTTATTTCAAAAGTTGGCAAAATGTCTATGGCACTTGGAGAGGTGATTGGCGAGTGTCAACACTTTTGTTGGGAGTAGACACATTCTTGACGCAGCAATTGTAGCTAGTGAAATGGTTGATAAGGTGGTGGGGAGTAGAAAGGCTGGTATCTTATGCAAACTTGATATGAAGAAGACGTATGACATGTTAATTGGAAGTTTGTTGATTACATGTTGGTCTGATGAGTTTTGGATAGAAATGGAGAGGGTGGATGAATGTGTGTATACGACAACTTCTTTTGTTGTGATGATTAATGATGGACCGTCTATTTTTTCAGACTTCTAGAGAGTAAGACAGGCGATTTATTATCTCCCTTATTGTTCATTATTGTAATGGATGCGTTGAACATATAACTTTCTCAAGCTAGAGAAGTTAATTTAATAAGAGGGGTGGAGGTGGGGAGAGGTGATCAACAAGTGGAGCTTTCACATCTTTTCTTTACAGATGATATTTTGAGCTTCTGTCAACTCGATGAGAATATGATATTGAATCTTAAATGTGTTCTTCTGTGCTTTCAAGCGATATCAAGACCGAATATTCATCTGAACAAGTCTGAAATGGTCAAGATGGGAAATAGAGGCGACAGGGATAGTCTTCCTGTAGTCCTCGAATGCCAAGCGGTGCAATTGTCGATCAAGTACCTTGGACTTCCTTTATGAGCTAGATATAAAGATGTGAAAACTTGGTACCTAGTGATTGAGTTATTTGAGAAGAGACGTGCGAGTTGGAAGAGAAATTTTTTGTCTTAAAGTGAGAGATTAACACTAATTAAAAGCACCCTCACCACTCTACCTATTTATCTTTTATCTGCCGTCACCATTCCTGTGAGGGTAGCAAAGAAGTTGGAGAATATTCAGTGTCGTTTTCTATGGGAGGATGATGAGAGAAATAGAAAATATCAGTTGGTAAAATGGGAAGACATGAAGAAGCTTGTGAATAAAGGGGGCTCTGGGAATTAGATTGCTGGTTGAGATGAATAGGGCTCTACAAAGGAAGTGGTTGTCGAGGTACCTTATGGAGGAGAAGAAGTTATGGAGCAAGATCATTGAGGCTAGATGGGGGACTAAGATGGAGAGAAGGGAAGTTAGGAAGGTGGTGAGGTCATTTGGGAGGAGTTTGTGACGAAAATAGGATGTAGGAGACATCAGTTCTTAGAATGTGTTAAATGGAAGATTGGTAGGGGCAACAGAATTCACTTTTGGGATGATGTGTGGATTGAGGAGGGGAGTCTCAAGAACCTCTTTCCTAGAAAATATGTCATTGCACAGAGGAAGAATATGATGGTGAAGTGTTGTTTTACAAGGAGGAAGGTATGGGTGGATGGAATTTGCTCTTGACCAAAAATCTTAATGACTGGGAGATCGATGAGTTTGTGGCGCTTGATCAGTTATTGTCTAACATGTAGTTGAATGATACACACGATAAACTAGTTTGGAAGCTAAAGAGCAATGGAATGTTCACAGTTAATTCCTACTACAATCACTTAGCCAGGGGCAACTGAGAGCATGTAAGTTTTCTGGCTCAACATATTTGAAAAACTAGGGCCTCCAAGAATTGTGTTTTTTGCTTGGGAAGCGAGCTGAGAATGTATTTTAATTATTGACATGCTGATGAGAAGAGGCAACATCATGACTAACTCTTGTTATATGTGTATGAAGAATGCAAAATCGTGCAACCATTTACTACTATAGTAAATATTTGGACTTTGGTTTATAGTCTGCTTAACATCAACTGGGTGATAGCGGGGACAGTTACGAAGGAACTTGGGCTTGGGGCAAAGTGTGTAAGAAATAAACAATTGTAAATCTCATACCTCTAACCAATTTTTGGGTGATTTAGAAAGAAATGATCAATAGAGTGTTTGATAGGTGTGTCAGGCATTTGTCCAAAATTAGAGATAGGTGGATACAGACTTTTAGGTCTCTAATGCTAGATCATGATCTCTACGAGTGAGATGATTTTGGAAAGGTTATTGATGTACTAACTGATCTGTAAATATTTTTGTACATGGGCAATACTCCCCTGATGCCATGTACTTAATATACACCTTTCTTATCTTAAAAAAAAAAAGTGGATAATGTACTGAAAGAAGGATTTGCAGGTATATATTATGCCAAGGTCCAAAGTCTGCACTCAGGTTGTGGTGAATATTGATAAGACTCTAGCAAGTTTAATAGGGTCAACCAACCATTGGTCCCCTGCAGGGCTTCTAAATGACATGGAAATCCCAAGCAACAGTATCACAATATAAGTGCAAACAAACATCAAGATGGGTTCTTTATGTCTGTGTGAAATACTATACAAATAAGGAAGAAACAAGTTAGTTAATGGGCTATAGCCAATCCAGGGATTCTTCAAGAGGAGAACTCTCAAGTCATCCCCATCTTTATATGGATAAGAGAAAGAAAATGTGTTTTACTTGTGAGATGGCTTTCCAGACTTTCATAATATATGGAACTCATTACTAAAACATCCAACCATTCCTGCAACCACCGCAAATACCCTTGAACACCCTTTGAACACCCTGTGGCAAAAGGTTTACAGTAACTCTTCCCTCAGTTTAGATCAAAATAAACAAAATTTCAACTAAGTCAGCAACAAGGAGTAGAGGTGAGCAAAATGCAGTTTTTGTTTTTCCAAGAAAACTATAAAGACTAACCAACTAAAGGAACCGATTGAATTCATACAGGTTATTTCAGAAATCAAGCACTTTGGTTATTTTGGTCTTTTAATTTTTAATTTTATATCTCATTTTATTAATTAAATATATAACTGTACATTTTAAATTTTATGTTATTATTCATAATAATATAAAATATATTATATATAAAATAATAATATAAATCAGTTATTTTGGAACAGAACCAAATCGACTAGTTCAGTCAGTTCTCTTGGCAATTTTGATTGTTCAGTTTTGAAAAATTCCAAACTGAACTGACCAAGAAATCCAAATGCTACCCCTAACAAGGAGGCTGTAATGGATGAAGAATTTGTGAGCATCCAAAATTCAGAATAACAGCCAGATTAGTTGCCCATCATGGTACTCATAAAATGTACAAGTGGATTGCAAAGACAGTGTCCTGTAGTCATTTCTTAAGAACATATATGCACACAAACACATATATTGTCAGGGAGAGAAGAGTATGGCATGCCAACTGAGGACAAGAATCCTCCCAACAAAGAAAAGAAAAGAAAGAGTGAAAGATAAAACAAGTTAATACAGAAACATAGCCCAATAAACAATAAATATAGTTGTAAGCATCATTAAACATGAAAGTTATTGTTAGCTTATGTGGGCATCAGATAACCAATTAATATTACATTGCAAAAATAATTTGCAGGTCAAGCTTCCATCTCGTATGTGGAAAATAAATCATTACTGTCAGATTATAAGACGCTATTTTAGTAAAATAGTCTTTATTATACTTTAGGGTTTTATTCTATTATTATTAATTATTTATTATGTTTTATATTTCTTAAATAAGGAAGTTATACTTCGGATTTTGTGGTATAACTCCTATATATATGGCTGCATGTATTCATATATTTCATCAATGAGAAATATAAGGTTTTACTCCCAAAACATCAATTACCTTATTAAATACCAACATATCATCTATTTTTAAGTAAATTATATGAGACAAAGGCATTTCAGGCACAAGGGTACAAATTCGGATTTCACATTATTTGTCTGCAATCTTAAGACACAAGAATCCACAATGACAAAATTATGTAAAGGAGGCATGACAACAAGCATCTATAAACCTGTATAAATGTATATGCAAAAGAGGTTGAATTTCTTGTGAAATGAAGAATAAAAGTTACCAAAACATGCTGGATTGCATTATCAAATCAACAACTGAAAGACAAATATTGTGCATCATAGTCATGAATGGATAATCGAACAATCATCAGAAATGACAAGCAAAACCATACCACTGCAATTTTGTCAACTTTTAGCTCCACTTTCTGTTTTGATCCCTGACTTGTTACCACAACACCTTCCACCCTTATTGAAGCACCAGTTGTGACTATTCCAGATTCTACCTGTTAATAAACTCCAGAGCTTGAGATAAACATATAATTGACAACTATATAAGCCACATAACCTTAACTATCAAAAAAATTAACAAGCTAAAAGATTTCATTGTTAACAAAACAACTTATAACATGAAAGGCATGATGCATAATAGAGTATTATTATATTTCAGAATACTAACCAGCAAAGGCCACTTCAAAACCAATTGATTGAGGTTTGGGAAAAAAATAACAGGAGGCTCACTAGAATTCCCCACAGATGTCAAGCCAAGTCTGACTACTGCATCATTTGACACCTTGTCTGACCTATCAACATCTTATATAACACACCTTGCATTTCTATATTTTCACATGAAAATTTTTTGATGAACCTTACCTAACTTTAATCTTTCAAATCTTAAAGCTATTTCTTCTTTTACTCGAGTCAACTGACCTATCTTTGATTTCTACGATTAAGGTGTCCGCTCCTAAATTTTCCTTTCCTCTTGAGAAGTAGCTACCTCAGTTCATGAGCAGGGCTCCTTTTATAGGCTTGTCTTATTGAGTCACAAACTTCTTCTGATAGGTTGAAAATATAGATGAAAAGAGAAATGTTATTGATAGAGATAAGAAATAAAAAGTATAAGTAAAGAGGTTAAGACATCCGCAAAAGCCTCCAAAAACAACTGGAGGAAGAAATAAGCAAAGCAACAGAACAACACCCTAATCCCTTTGCAGCAACGTCAGACATCTCTAGAACATTCATGAGCCTTAGCCCACAGAGAAGTCAATAAAGTCAACCTGTCCCAAAGACTGGGAGGGAAGTTGCAATACTTAAGAATTCTAGCACTACCTCCAACCAAAAAATCAAAACCCCGCAAAAAGAGCACCACTCGTGGGGATGTTAGCTTCCTACTTAACCCCAACTCCCTTAAAAGATAAATTCAATCAAGGGAATGGAAACCCACACGACT